GAGGGGGGGGGGGGGGGAGTGTCCAATAGGGTCAATTGATCCCCCAGTTTCTGCTTTTTTTTTTATTTTTTTTTAAAGAATGTCAAAGTTTAAAACTTACACTATAAATATATAATGCAATCGACTGCTCCAAACTTATCATAAATGTGTATAGTTTTACTTAATAGATATTGATTGTACAATTATAATAAAAGGTTGAGTATCAATTTTTGAACAACTTTTGTTAAATTTATAATAAAAATGTTACTAATGAAAAGACTAAAAAGTTGAAGATTATCAATTTTCAGTACCATTTGCCAGGGCGGAACCGGAGGAGGGGTGTGTGTCCAATAGGGTCAATTGAACCCCCCACCCCCGGTTTGCCTTTTTTTATTTGTAAAGAATGTCAAAATTTAAAACTTACACTATAAATATATAATGCAATCGACAGTTCTAAACTCAACTTTATGTCTTTGTTTCTCTCTTTCTCAATTTGTCGATTATGGACTGTCATTACCATTTACAATTTACCCACTATTTGAAAGTTCGATTTTGATCCCCTTATTCAAAGTGCCTGAGTCCGTCCCTGCCATTTGCCTCAATTTCCTAACCAAATACGTAGCTTCTCAAAACCTAGAAATTGGACCAGAAAAGATCCACTCTCCACAAAACAAGCCCATTAGCTCAATCTCACGCTAAAAACCCTAATTCTGAGCTCGATCACACAAGTACCTGGGACTCGCAGTTCTGCTATTTCCTATCAGAAAATAAGGACGGCAGCCGAGAGTGGAAAATGCAGATCTTCGTGAAAACTCTAACTGGGAAGACCATAACCCTTGAGGTCGAATCCAGTGACACCATAGACAATGTCAAAGCCAAAATTCAAGACAAGGAAGGTAATTATTTTTTTATTTTTTATTTTTTATCAAATTTGTACATCATGTTGGAATTTATATATGGGTTTAAAATTTGAATTATTTATGTTTTTTAAGGGATTCCACCGGACCAGCAGAGATTGATCTTTGCCGGAAAGCAACTGGAAGATGGCCGCACTCTCGCAGATTACAATATCCAGAAAGGTAGTAAGAACTTCTTGATATAATTTGTATTGTATCATGTGAGATTCACTCTGCCTATTTGTGGTTGATTTTTGTTACCTAATTGGATATTGCAATCTCCATGTCTGTAGAGTCGACATTACATTTGGTTCTGAGGTTGCGTGGTGGGATTATCGAGCCATCCTTGATGGCATTGGCTAGAAAGTACAACCAGGACAAGATGATTTGTCGAAAGTAAGCTCTTTCTTTGAAGTTCATTGGAATTGTTCTTTACAGAAAAGTTGTATAATTTGATGTTATCATAGTTCACTGTTGTCCATCTTTTCTGGATTATGCACCATTTTTATCCTTAATTCTTGATATGCATTAAATAGGATACTGTGTCAAATCCCAAAATTATAACCAACTCCCAGTCTCACAATTTTTTATGAGTATTTTTAGAATACATAATTTTTGGATTATTATCAGCCTTTTTTATTTTCTTGGTTTTATGCTTGCAGTGGAAAGTGATACTACTGAACTTTCCATCAATGGAAATTTAAGTTGATTCATTACTACGAAAATGTAATCATAAATTTGATACTCCTTTTTTGAATTTAATAGACTTAGGATGGTAGTCTGATGAGTTTTATGTTTTCACTGGTTGCTTCTGGTCCCCACGAGTGGGAATACCCTTGGTCATTTACGGAAAAAGTAGCAAAAGTTACCAGTCATTTTTGGTGATGCATCACGATGATGGTGTGTTGTTCTCTAATAGACATAGAATTCTTATAACTAACATCCACAAAGAAATTAGTATCATCTTGATGAATTAATATGCATATTCTTGAATGAAGCAGGTTATCTACTCAAGCAACGCTGCTCTAGCTAATTCCAGTTTAATTTTATCAATAATTGATCTTTGTTTAAAATTCCAGATCGACTCATTTCGATTTATTAGTTAAGCTTCATAAGAGCTCGAATATTATTAGATGAGTTCTCTTACAGTTCTTGGAACATGTACAAGCCTCATCTGAGATTTTTGATAGTTGATGTATCTTTTAAACTGTTTTTATTACGTATGGAATTTAAATTTGAAAAAGCAAATATGCATTGTGTGCATGCACCCTAACTGTCGAGGACTTTGATTATACTTTGATCAGGTGCTTTGATTTCCTTGTATACTTGTTAGTGTTGTGAAATGCATCTTTCAAAAGCGATATCGCTATAATGTGAGAGAACCAGTGTAATAGATGCCTAATGCATTTGAAAGAATCCATCATTGCGTTGATCTCTAACACTAATAAAACGTATTATTGTCATTGGTTGTTCAGTAACTTGAACTGTTTTCTTTATACTGACCATTTTGAATCACAATATATTTTCAAGATGGTAATGAGCATTTAATATCCAGCCACCTCCACATTTTTCCTCGAATCTATTCCACAGCAAGTTGAAGGTTGATATATCCAGTTTCTGTCATCGCTGCTTGTTTCAGATATCTAGTTTTATTTAGCCCCAATTTGGTTTATCTAAAAATCAGATTTTTAGTTGATTTTGATAGAAGTTGATGAAATGTGTGATTGAAAAGTTGATGAAAGTTGTAGGTAGCATGAAATGTGGGGGTTGAAAATGACTTTGAGAACAAAATGAGTTTTATAAAATGGGGGCCAAACAAGGGCTTATTCTGATATGTACTTTGAGATGTCTTATTTTTCACTAGCCTGAGAGATTCCATGGATCTTGGATTAACTTGTTAACTTGTGATTCAGGTGTTATGCACGTCTGCATCCTCGTGCTGTCAACTGCAGGAAGAAAAAGTGTGGACACAGCAACCAGGTATTGTCAACGTAATAATGCCCGTCAGATTGATAAAGATTTTGTACTAAGAACTTCTGTTTTTCATTTTACAGTTGAGGCCGAAGAAGAAGATCAAGTAGACGAGATATGGAATTGCTTTTAGAAAGTTACTGTCAAGAGGATATCTCATGCTGCAGCCTGTCTGCATATAAGGATTTTAACAGTTTTAAAAATTGCATCTTGGTCATTATGGATCATCTCGTCTTTTTTGTTTGTTTGGAGATATTCGAATTCTTAGTTATTTGGATATTTTCAGTTATAAATGCCATTTCTCTGTGGTTCTTTACAGAATATTGTGGTTTTATGATGTATTTTCATATACATATGACAATTTGGTATTTGATGTATGAAGCAATAAAAAAATTATCACATTAATGCATTAAGTAACAAGTTAATATATATGTTACATAAAACGATTAAAAGGTAATTTTTACTATGAATAACATTATTCATTTTTTATATGCACATGCCTTAAAATGCCATGGTCTTGGCGCTATTCTACTTGAACGGCCATAGTTGGAGTTGGTTCTATTATGACGTATACTGGAAATGACATGATTGGACTTGGTGCTGTCATGTTAAAATCTAGTGCTGAAAAGTGAATTTACTTTTGTAAAGTTGCTGCAAGGATTCGCTGAGGGATTATTTGGCAAATATGCCCCAAGTGTATCTGGCTGTTTTGAATCATGTTGGCATCTGGGTTTTGGAGCGATGGACTGTTATATTTAGAAATGGACAAAGTACTCGTTCATTGTCTAATTTGCACTAATTTTGCTATTGGTCGGATTCAAGGCACGGATCTGGACATGATAATTGGCTTTGGTTGATTGAGCTGTAAGTATCTTATCAAGCAGAAAGATATTTTGTCAGTAGGATTTGACAGAAACTTGAAATGTGACTTGAGCATTTTCAGTGGTGCTCTAAATTATATTTAAATTCTGATTTAGATCTCCTAAGTGGTCAAAAAATTATATATATATTCTGATTTAGATCTCTGAAGTGGTCGAAAAATTCTTCAATAGAGATGCAAAGGAAACGGAAAGTACATTTTTCGAGAAAATGTTTAAATATATATATATATATATATATATGATTGTAAATTTGAATTTTGGCAAATAAAAATGGCAAAAGAATCTATTCCTTGGACAGCTTTTGAAAGATGCATTTCACAACACTCTTTGTAGTAATTAAAGGTAGAAAGCCTAGAATATATAATTATTGGTCAGAAGTACTACAACAAGTAGAAAGATTTCCCCAACCTTTTTTTCAAAGGATTTTATACACTTGAAGAAACTTTAAATTTTTGTAGAGAAATAATAGGATTTAATTTTCATATATCCGAAATAATTAAACAGGCCATGCAAACCCCCCTCTCAACTTTATCATCATCTTCATCAATATGACTTTGTGATAATTGTGAAACTATGACCAAAGTTGTTAGAAATTTAAATTTTAGAAAGTATTCTTTAAAAGAAAGACTACAACTCCTCGAAGATCAAATTTCTTCATCCCAACAAACTATTAGTAAATATCAAAATGAGATTCTTAAATTGCATAATAGTTTAGATAGACTTAGTTCTTCTAAAAATACACTTGAAAAATCAATTTCTAAAGACATCGCCTCTACAAGTAGAAATTATTCTGATAAAATAAAAAGACTTATTGAACTAACAGATTCTACAACTGAAGGACAAGAAAAGACTTTATACGAAATTCTATAAAGAATTTCGTTTTACAGAAAAGTATAGATTTTGCTCAAATTTTAAGTTACTATCATAATGAAAATAGATATTTCCTTAGACATGGTCCCAAATACGATGCAGCCCAAAATTCAGCATTCCTTAAACACAATTATCCAACAATTTCTTTTGATTATACAATTTTTGAAGAAGAAGACCTCTTTTACCCAATTTTACAGTTTTGTATGATTGATACTTACATATTAAACAAATCTTTCCCATTTTTTCCACCAAAGCTTAAATAGATTTTTGATCAGTTAAAAGATCATTCCTTAATGATTCAATTCATTTCCATACCCCCTCGTGTAAATAATGATATTGTAATTTCAGCTTATCATCGTATTTTAATTTATGAAGGAGCCAAAAGATTTAGACACTCTTGAAGGATGAATATTAAAATAAAAATTAGACAGATTGATTATGAAAGAAGAATATCAGAAACCGCAGCCATGATGGAAGTTCAAAATAATGATTTCAGATTAGTAGCACAATGGAATAGCGGAATTATTTTCTGCCAATAGCACCTTGCCATGAGAACTAAAGAAAAAAAAATTCTAGTACCAAATATTGAATAAAAGAAATTATATCTAATGGCGTTTCAAGAGACTAATGGAAAATTTACAGAAACCCTATCAGAAACAGAAAATGAAGCATATATATCAAATGGCAACGATAATGAGATGGATCCAAAACTAGAAGAAGCCATATAAAAAATGATGGACAAATAAAGACGAAGATGAAGAAATAATTAGCAAGACAAGGAAGTCAAAAAGAAGAGGCGTAAAGATAAAGCTTTAAACATATTTCAAAGATTTTCTGCAAAGTTGATTATCATATTTCAAGAAAAGTCAGGCGTGGAGACAAAAGTTGTCAGAAGCATCATTTCAAATAAATCATTCTTTAATTACTCACATAGAGAATTGCACATTATTTATTTTTCTTTGATTTCTGATCGCACACTTGTAAAGTTTGCACAATATTCTTTAATTATTGATAGCACACTCACAGCACCAACAGAATAGACGTGATGTACCAGCGTCTATAAATACCTACACCTCTCACGGAAGAAAAGACACCGAAAAAAGCACACTATCACACGTGTACTCAAAAATCTCTCCACCACCTTTGTAAATTCAAAGACATCCTTATAAATTCAAAGACTTCGTAATTAAAGTAAGTTTTTTTCATATTTTCTCTTGTTTATAATTTTCATCTACTTTAGTTAATTTTTGGGGAAGGCCTAAAAGGGGAAACACCAAGTAAGCAATTAATTTATTCACAAATAGTATTTTATTTTTGTTTAAAAAATATAATTTTAACACTCTTACCCTCTTTATTCTGGATTTTATGGTCAAAAGATAAAGTAATCCTCTGAGTTAAGTTGGTTAATTTGTGTCCCAACAGTGGGAGTTTATTTAAGTCTTTTTAAACATGATGAAAATCTTTTTTATTACAGTTTTAAGCTTTCTTTAAAAGGTCAAGAAAAAAGTTAAAAGAGAGTTAAAAAAAAAAGCATGAATAAATTAATTTGTTGAACGGTAAAGTACTCAAAGGTCATTACAAACATATCGTTTTAAAATTTTAATATTTATGCCTTTAAATTACATTGCCTTACTTACTTGTTCATTGGAAAGTTTTAATGAATATATTAATACTTGTTTAGAAAATAGAGAGATAGGAAAATTAATCGTTGTAGGAAGTCATATTTTATTCGCTCTAGATAGAAATAAATGTGACTTCTCTTTACAAATTAAGAAGCAAATCACTGAGCTCTCTATCTCTCAGTGTCGGTGTTTCTTAATAAACGATCCTAAAGATTGTAAAGAAAGACAACAACGAGCAAAGATTATAAGAGAAAATAATAATAATAGAAATTTCAGTAGAACTGGTTAGACATTTTTTAGCAATAGACCTTTAGTAGCAAAGACAACAGAAATATACATATATACTCTTGATCATAGTAATTTAAAGTGCAGACTTTTTAAAACGAATTAATTAAGTATAGAAAATCTTACCAAATTAGTAGACTTTCTCTAGAAAATATTTATTGATAGGAAGAAATTTGTATTTCAAAACGTGTAAAAATTTTAAGAGAAAGACCTTATTAACAAGTCCTCTTTATATTTATTAGAAAGAAATTTTTTTGAAAAGCAAGTCATTTTCATATTAATTAAAGAAAATTTTTCAAACTTTTGGTAGGAAGATTTACATAAATTTTGTAGACTTTATCACTTTCATTAAAGACGTTTTCAATTTTGTTAAGACTTTTTTTTAGAGTTGGTAGTTTACGTAAATTTTGTAGACTTTATCACTTTCATTAAAGACGTTTTCAATTTTGTTAAGACTTTTTTTAGAGTTGGTATCAGAGCCTATGAAAAGAATTATATAGTTTATGAAAAGAATTGAGTATTTAAATCTAGAAATTTTAGGAAACTATAAAAGAAAAGATAACAAAATTGAAAACACTGATACCAACTCTAAAAAAAGTCATAATAAAATTGAAAACGTCTTTAATGAAAGTGATACCAACTCTAAAAAAAGCCTTAACAAAATTGAAAACGTCTTTAATGAAAGTGATAAAGTCTACAAAATGTACGTAAATCTACCACTCTAAAAAAAAGTCTTAATAAAATTGAAAAAGTCTTTAATGAAAGTGATAAAGTCTACAAAATTTACGTAAATTTTCCTACCAAAAGTTTGAAAAAATTTTCTTTAATTAATATGAAAATGACTTGCATTTCAAAAAAAATTCTTTCTAATAAATATGAAGAGGACTTGTTAATAAGGTTTTTCTCTTAAAATTTTTGCACGTTTTGAAATACAAATTTCTTCCTACCAATAAATATTTTCTAGAGAAAGTCTACTAATTTGATAAGATTTTCTACACTTAATTAATTCGTTTTAAAAAGTTTGCACTTTAAATTACTACGACCAAGAGTGTATAGGTATATTTCTATTGTTTTTGCTACTAAAGGTCTATTGCTAAAAAATGTCTAACTAGTTCTACTGAAATTTCTTTTATTATTTTCTTTTATAATCTTTGCTCATTGTTGTCTTTCTTTACAATCTTTAGGATAGTTTATTAAGAAACTCCGACACTGAAAGATAGAGAGCTCAGTTATTTGCTTTTTAATCTGTAAAGATGAGTTACCTATATTTCTATCTAGAGTGGATAAAATATGGCTTCCTATAACAATTAATCTTCATATCTTTCTATTTTCTAAACAATTATTAATACATTCATTAAAACTTTCCAATGAACAAGTAAGTAAGGCAGTGTAATTTAAAGGCATAAAATATTAAAATTTTGAAACGATATGTTTGTAATGGTCTTTGAGTGCTTTACCGTTCAGCAAATTAATTTCTTCATGCTTTTTTTTTAAAACTCTTTCTTAGCTTTTTTCTGGACCTTTTAAAGAATGTTTAAGACTGTAGCCAAAAAAGATTTTCATCATATTTAAAAAGGTTTAAACAAACTCCCACTATTGGGACTCAAATTAGCCAACTTAATTCAGAGGATTACTTTATCTTTTGACCATGGAATCCAGAATAAAGAGGCCAAGAGCGTTAAAATTATATTTTTGAAACAGAAATAAAATACTATTTGTGAATAAATTAATTGCTTACTTGGT